CAGTCATTTCGATGGTTTCCTGCTCTATAGGGTCTGGTATTTGAGAATTACTGTATTCTTTTGGTGGTGTCATATTTTCTTGGGTTTACATATTTCTAGTATCTCTACATTGATGTCTGGTTATCTGGTAGAGCAGTTGCTTCTTCTATTATTCTGGAGTGGGCTTTGAGGAGAGAGACGTCCTCTTTTTCTGGTCTCTGCTGGTGACTGTCCTTGTGTAAATGCAGTCAGGTGTCTAGTGGGCTGCCTGCATGGTGGCAGTGGCTGCTGCTGTGATGTCAAGCCACTTTTTCAGTAGCTATGGCTGTGGCGCTGGCTGTGGTGGGCCACCCATGCAGAAGTGGTATTTTTGCTGTGCTCTCTTGCCTGCTTCTGGGTGGAGTGGGCTGCGGCCCTTGGCTCATTGCCTAGGACCCCAGGCCTGAATGTCTATTAGAGTTGGAGAGTGCATGTGGTTCTCAGTATCTTTACATAACAATCAGTAACTAATCTGTCTTTGAGCCAACAACCTTGCTGTGCCACAAATCTTTATCTCACACCAGAGACTTATAGCCTGAGGAAAATTTCCTGTCCTTGCAAGGTCAATATTTGAAACTGCAAGGCTTTGGAAAACCAGGCTCTGTGATGTACATATGCTTTTTAGTATATTCCACAGTACTTGAATCAGCACTGGGAAGTCTCTTGTGATCTGTGCCTTATATGACTGGTAGAATGCTATATAGTCTTCATCCCAATAGAGGAACCTCTTCCTCTCCATGAGTCTTTCTTTGCATGGCTTAGAAGTGAAGTTGTCCTTATATTTATGTTAGTTGTTGTTATCTTATGTTATCACCTCTGATATTTACCTTCTTTATTAGCACATGTCTGCTACTTTATTTAGGCTCATAAGTGAATCCAATACAGAGGTTACTTTGGATATAATCACTGTCCTAACAGTCAAGGTAGGGGCTGTGGTTTTGGTAATTTATGTCAAACCCTAAATTTGGCTTTCAGGATTAGGAGGAATTAATCCTTCCACTAGTATCTCAAAAGGTGATCTGGACAAAGGAACCAAGGTATCTTACTCAGTCAGGTAAGTGATTATTGAAAATGAAAGTAAATACTTTGGGTTTTTTTTGTTTCTTTGTTTGGTTTTTGTATTTGTTATATTTAATAGTTTTCCTAATAATGAAACGAACTTGCATTGCATTTCTGGAAGAAAATTGCTACTTTTCAAGGATTTTGAATTGTGTTTGCTAAATTTGCTATTTTAAATTTTATTTTCTATTTTATTTGATTTATTACTATTTACTTTCTGTGTTTAAAAGTGAGTTCTTTTGGGGAGATGTCAGTCTTTGTCAGTTGTTGATATTTGGGTCATTAATGAAATCTTTTGTTGCCTTCTCTTTTAAACTGAGCAGATCTCAAACATATCCCATGCAATTAAATATGTTTTAATAATAACTTTTAAAAATTGGCACATATGTTATAACACTAAGGTCAAGGGTTCAGATCCCTGTACCCAGCCAAATAAATAAATAAATAAAATTTAAATATCGGCACATAATATACCACTGCATGAGTGTAAAAATTTAATTTGTATCATATTTGGAACCTTGTTTCAGTAACTGCCCTTTTAATTGTGTGTAAATAATGCTATAGTGAACATCTGTGTAGATAAATTTTTGCATGTATTCATGTTTATTTCCTAAGGTTAGGTAAAGTGTACAATCCCTCTAGTAGTGCATGAGAATGCTCATTTTTCACATCCTCACCAATACACTATATTAAGATTTTTAAAAAATCCAACAGTTGCAAAGGTGAAAAATGGTCTTTGATATTTTAGTTTCACAATGAGAGAACAGATAGAAATCTTTCTTGGGTCTTATTTTTTGAGTTTCTTTTTCACACTGATTTTTAATCTATCATGGGTTGCAGATATTTGCCCTATAAATGATTAATTTATATGTAGCTCAAATATCTTTATTTGTGGTTTATTTTCCACTTTCAATTTATAATATGAAGGTAAATATATTTTCTTATAGTTCATGTTTATGCTTTGTTACTATTGTTTCATAATACAAATCTTTCTCATTGGGGAATCTCTTTGGAATGTGGTATGTAACTAATTTTTCTAAATATCCAGCACATTCAAGGTTTGGGGGTTTGTAGTAAGGGTATTTGTGGGGATCTCAGCAGAAGGAGTTTCAGAATCTTTTCTTCAGTGCTCTGCTTTTAAACATGACTTAAATATTCTCTTAGCCCATTTCTCTGTGTGTCTTCTCAGTTTTGCTACCACTGGCTTATGCTTTCCTCTGTGACAGGGGTTGGCAAACTTTTCCTATAAAGGGCCTGATAGTAAATATTTCAGGCTTTGTGGACCATATGGTTTCTGCCATTGTATGAAAGCAGTCATAGACAGTACATACATGAATAAATGTGGCTGTGTTCCAACAAAACTGTATTTACAAAAAAGGCAGTAGGCTGTAGTTTGCCAACACCTGCTTTATGACATTTTGCTCTTATACCTTTTGCTCTCATAGTTTCTACTTAGTCATAGTGTGCTTCCCCTTGTTCATGCCTCTGGTCCTCCTTATAACCTCTTAGAGTGCTTTTTTCACCTCCAGTCTTTGCTACTGACTACCTGTTTTCATATTTCACAATTTTAGGTTTCTGAGAGCATGGCTGGTAGCTAAACTGGATGCTTTGCATGTCACTAGTATCATGTGCTGGGATTTGAAAGTGATTTGCATGGCTGTCTACCTTGTTGCTTCATTATAACCAATTCCAAATAGCTACATTCCTTTTGAGGATCTGGTCCTTGCAATCTAGATTTCAGTGCAAGAAACAGGCTCATTTGGATCAATTTTAAGAAGTTTACAGAACTCGACTCTAGTGTGGTATCGTTAATGTGATTCAGCTTCTCTCTGGTTCTCTATGCATGTCATCTTGCTTCTGCAACAGACTGCTTTCCTCATACTGCCCTCTTTACCTCCTGGCTACTGAATACTTATGCTTTTTTCTCACTCATCACATGAGTTTTTTTTTGTTTGTTTGTTTGTTTTTTTGTCTTTTTCGTGACTGGTAAGGGGATCGCAACCCTTGGTGCGGTGTTGCCTGCACCGCGCTCAGCCAGTGAGCGCACCTGCCATTCCTATATAGGATCCGAACCTGCGGTGGGAGCGTCGCTGCGCTCCCAGCGCCACACTCTCTCGAGTGCACCACGGGGTCGGCCCATCACATGAGTTTTTATAACCTCTGTAGGTGTGGGCTTCATTCTACCTCATCTTTCTCTCTCTAGGCTATCTGCTTTAACTCTTGTTGCTCTCCATGCTACCCGGTTGTCATTAAATTGAGAATCTGATTCCCTGTGGGTTGTTTCTTGAAACTGTAGGGGTAGTAGTTGGTATTTGGCATGTCTAGGACATTTTCCCCTATCAATTGCTATGTGCAAATGTCTTTCCCTGTGTATAATCCAAAATTGCTTTAGCCTAACGTAATCCAGCTATTATAAGTATATTTAGACTCATTTAGTTGCTCCAAAACTGGAAGGCAACCCAGTCACAGAGCATCTGGAAGCATCATACCTGACCATCTTTGGAACTTGACAGTCTCACAGATAACTATGCAACCCTCTTCTCCTTATATCCTTGATTCTCTTCCTCATACTAACTGGTTTTCTCATCTTCTATTCTTTATGCTATTGCTGATATATAGTTTCTGCTTATTTATAGAATCTGATTTATGTGCTTATGCACAAGTTGACCTTATATCTTTCATGATTCTTACATAGGCTGTGGTGTGTTCTTTTCATCATGTATCCATTCACTTCAGCTGCTGAGTTTCTGTTCCTCTTTTATTCCCAATTGTAAGTTGAATCTTATATTCTCACCTCATCCTTATTTGTGGAAGGCTTTCATGTCATGACATGTTGACCAGCTTATGGATGTCTGCCCTTGGGTCTGATCTTTACTTACCCTTGGTGTGATCAGCTATGGATTCGGAGGAGGGATAGTTGGTCATAAGAATGCTTTCTTAGCCAGGCTTGTTTATAGTACAGTTTTCCTTTATAAAGATTTTGGGCATGGGTGACACTATGACATGTTTATTTTATTCTGTGTGATTTAGTTCTCTGAAGCTGTTTGACTGCAGCATGTACCAAGTTTCTCTCAAACTTACCTTCTAGTGGGTATAAGTTGTAAGTTCTGTGATAATCACAAACTGGTTTGCACATCTTCAGAACAAAGGATTATCCACAAGTAGCCAGTTCCCTAAGCTGCATTCCTCTGGAGGGACTGTTCTGCTTCTTACTATTGGTTGGGCACTTACGATTGCTAGAAACAGTTCTTAGGTGGGCTCACATAATGACAGGTTATTGGCAGGCCATCTGTGGGGAGATAATGGCAACTGGGATCACATGGAATTCCAAATATAGGGGACCTTAATATGGTTATACCTCTTTGGAATGGGGACTGGGTCCTGAGAAGCTCTAGGAAACTCAGCAGCAGGAGTTTATTCACCTTCACGTTAGGGTTATACCATTTAGTGCTTGAGCTGCTCTGTCCCTCTGCTTATCTTTTGTGTCTTATAATTCCTTCCATTAGATGTTGTCTTGCCCATCCACTTTGTTTTTTCTCCACTTCATATTTTTAGCTTATTCATAGGTTCTGCTTGCTTATGGCTTCACCTTCCTTATAAGTTTTGCTTATTTATAGTCCTTATGGCCTCACCTCTGATTTGTGTTGGCTTGCTGTGTATTCTTTCAGCTTCAGTTCCCTTTGCTAACTGATTACCTTTGATAGCTGACTGGAATAATTTCTGAGAACACAAATTTACTAGGCCTGTTGTATCCTAGTTTTGTTAGACATTTATATACCAATAGCAGCAGTTTGTGGATCTTCACTATTGTATTCTGCAATTAATGTTATGATTATAGTCAGTCTCTGCTGCTTTTACTCTGCTTATTTCTTATAGCTTCTAATGTATCTATTAACAACAGATTTCTCCATCCTTTGTTTCAGAAGTTGCAGTTGCAAATGCCTGCAGGAGCCAGATGCTGTAAATGTGTAAGATGGTTCTGGTATTCATTCTCTTTTTTTTTTGTTGAAATGCGAATGCTGCCATTTTGGCTTTGCTTTTGTTTATCCATTTTTCATAGAGACATTAGAATAAAGATTTCTCTACTCTGAAATATAAACAAAAGTGCAAATAGGATGGTAAAGGACAGCTGACGCTTCTAAGAGGATAGTAGGGAGTGTTTGGGATTGTGGTCAACTAGAGCGTGCACAATTCATCCAGAGGGGAAAGCTGTTAGTACTTGGCTCCTGCTGATTGTCGCCCAGTGGAAATCTGGGCATAGGATTGCCAGGATTTCCAATTCTCTTCAAGGAGCCTGATTGGCTTCAATTTTTTTTAAATGCTTCAGGACAACAAAATACATTTATAAATGCTTTTATAACTTTATAGCTTCTGCCTCTTCATAATTTTGGCTTATTTGTAATGTTACCTTTTTCCCTTATGATAGGAAACATGGTATGTAGCACTACCTGTCCAACTTGGCCAGGGGCGTGGCTGTTTCCCTTGGGCAGTGTTTAAAACTGGCCCACAGTTTTGAATGCAGTTGTATAAACCAGAATGGAATAAATTAGAAAAGACTAGATTAAGACGGAATATAGATAAGAAAACAGGAAAATACTAGCCTCCATCTGGCAAAGGGTAAGTATTATTTTGTGAAATTTTTGTCTCACCCGTATGTTTGTATGTAAGTGTGTCTTTGGTTCAATGTAATTGTATTTCTCACTGTGGATTAAACAACTTTATAAGACATTGAGTGAGACATTGTGAGCAGACTGGCATCCTCTGGATGAGACTCCTCCTGTAGGCAGGTCTCCTTTGACTCACACAGTACTTTTTTAATCAGTGAATATTTTAAAATTAAAAGATTTTATGTAAAAATTTAGATTTTTACTTTCTCCTGAAATAACGAAAGATGGATTCTAATTTCCCCTGAGACCAAATAGTGGTAGGCTCATTTTAAAGACGGGCCTTCTGCTCTCTACTTTACTACGTTGTATATTAGCCTGTTTTACTTTTTTATATTACCTGCCTAGCCACTTAAGACATTTTGAGCTTGTGGCTTACATTTCTTTGTCTTTTTGAAATTAACTGTGGCAGCCTAAACCTTGCCTTTGAATTCCCAAGAATTCAGAGGCAAAGGCAGATAATGATTATTAGTACAGTTGTCCCTCAGTATCCACAGGGGATTGGTTCCAGTCCTCCTTCCCACAATGCCAAAATCCATGGATGCTGGATCCTCAATTCCCTGATATAAAATAGCTAAGTATTTGTGTATAGCCTATGCACATCCTCCTGTATAGTTTAAATCATCTCTAGATTACTTATAATACCTAGCACAATGTAACACTTATAATACCTAACACAATGTAAATGCTATGTAAATAGTAGTAGAAAAATACTCTGTATTTTTCTTTTAGTCATGGTACTGTTATTTTTTATTTTTATTTTTTTGACTATTTTTCATCTGTGGTTGTTGAATCTGTAGATGCGGAACCTGCGTATATCGAGGGCCGACTCCATTTTGTCCCGTGGATGACATTCTCAGTGTTCTCTACTAAAAACTCATTCTAGTTCTAAATATGCCACATATTGTTGTGTGATCTAAAAACAGTTATGTTTGGAATTTGTTTATAAGCAATAGAAACCTACTTAGGCTAGGTCAAGTAAGGGGAGGGGTTGTGATGCTATACATTTGGCAATTAGGCAATCTGGTATTTCACAAGAATCTATTAAGAGCTGGTTGACCAATCCTTGAGAATAGTAAGAGATTTAAGGAAGCTTTAAGAACCTCATCAGTTCTCCATCCTCTCTTAAAAAGTGTCTCTTATTTGCAAATAAATTTGTTGGTTTTACAGAAAACATTAGCTGGTATTGGACTCAGTTTTTCAGCTAGATTTGTAATTTGGCACAGTATTGAAATCTTATGCCAATGTTCCTATTCTGTTTGAATTCATTTTCCTAACAAGATCCTGAGTTACTGAGCTGTTTGCATCACTTCATGTCAAAGTTTTCATTATTATGCACCAAAGTACTAATTTGTATTTGTAGTGAGTCTGGTGTTATATTTCAGTTATTTGTTTTGAGGGACTGTCTGCTACATTGCAGAATACCTTTTATCCCTGGCTGCTTTCCACTAAATGTCAGTAGTAACCCCAGTCATGACAACTAAAAGTATCCCCACAGATTTTCACAACACTGCCCATTGATTGTGCCATCTGGGTAAGAATCATGGTTCTAGAGCTCTGCTACTGACAGTGTTTCATTGTTTTAAAAGTCTTTTATTATTTTATTCTACTTTCTTACTTGTTTATACATACAGTTTCTGCTTCTAGACAGTTTGAGCTTCCCTCATCTCTCTCTCTTTATTTTAGGACACCTTCTTTCAGCTTCAGCTTTTGCTGATGTTTACCTGATTCTTTGTTCTACAATTCAAATTCCTGAGAACTGGAGAATCTCCTTTGTTCAGCTCATGTCTTTTTTGGCAAGAGCCTTTCACTTTAAGTCATATTATAAGTTTGTCCTTTGATTTGATGCCATATGAAAGAAAACAGTATTTTCTATGGCTATATATTGAGTAGGAATTTTGTCCAATTCTATTTTCCTTAGAAGAGACTGAGTGTTTGTGTGGCAGACACCAAGACTGATGTGACAGGTGTATTTTACTATGTGGTTACCAGGCAGATAAATATTTCTTAATATTTTTAACCTGAAGCACCATTACATGTTATGACTCTCATGTATAAAATCCCTAGTAAATTTACTGCTGCCGTTCAAGATAGTAACACAAACTGCTGTGTAGCACTTGTGTCCCCAAATGATGGTATGTGGTAGCTTCAAAAGGTACATGACCCAAATTCATAGAAATAGAAGAATGGTGGTTGCTAGGGGTGGAGGAATGGGGAAATGGGGAGTTGTTTACTAGAGATAGAATTTCAATTTTGCAAGTTGAAAAAGTTCCAGAGATTGGTTGCACAACAGTGTGAATATACTTAATACTACTGAACTGTACACTTCAAATGGTTAAGATTGCAAAAAATAGAGCAAGAATATATCATTAAATAGGCAGCTACACAGTCATCAGAATATCCTTCGGTATCTTAAAATATAGAATCTTCAAAGAAAAAAAAAGGTGCATAACCATCTTTGATGCAGCCTTCCAATTCTGTATGCCAGGGTTCAGCAAATGTGCCCACGGGCCAGGTCTGGCCCACTGCTTGCCAATTCCTGTGAACAAGGAATGGTGTTTATATTTTTTAATGGTTGAAAAAAATCAAAAAGATTATAACATTTCATGACATGTGAGAAGTATAAGAAATTAAAATTTGATTGTCCATAAAGTTTCATTGGAACACAGCCACACTCATTCACATATGTGTTGTGTATGGCTACTTTCATGCTACAGTAGCAGAGTGGAATAATTGGGACAGAGAACATATGGCCTGGAAAGCCTAAAATATTTACTACCTGGCTGTTAACAAAAAACTTGAAGTTCGTCTGTTGCAACAGCTGCATCTTTGATAGCTTTAAGTGCCTAATTAGCAGCTTTGTCTTGGGTGCATAGAGGTTATTATCATTCTATTCTCATGGGGAGGTGGGGGAATCTCATTTCCTTACTCCCTACAGTGAGGCTTTAGCCAATTCCTGAGAACTCGAACTCTTGGTGAGTTTCATTTGTGGCTGAAATCCTGTTTGCAGTTTCTGGTATTGTAGGCTCTTTATATTGTCAAGAAATGGACTTCTCTTGTGCCAGCCAAGCAATTTGGACCACCCAAGGATAGGCTAAGGGTTTGTATTTCATCCAGCCTACCACCTGTAACAGGTCTTCATTCCTCTGTGCTTCACTGTCTTTGTCATTGTCCATTCAAGCTTTAGTTTATCTCTGTAGGGACCAAGGGAAGACATCCCTTTCAACCCCCTGAAGGTTTTTTGAAAATCACCTGATAAACACAGATTAATGTGAAGAAAAGGCATAACAAATTTTATTATATCATAGTTTTGTGTGACAATGGGAGCCTTCAGAATAAAGACCCAAAGATATAGGGAAAACTGTCCATGTTTATGCTTAGGTTCTATGAAGCAGGCACAGCCTTGTAGAAATGTGAGTGGATAAGAAAAGTGTGATCTGATGCTATGAGACTGAACCAGGCAACCCAGCAAGGCCTGTCTATTCAGATTCTTCATGGTCTCTCTGTATAGCATTCATCTTCCCAGATGTAGGGCAGGATCCTGTCTCGAATGGGGATCTCAGGACCTACAGTCAGACAAGGTAGATCAGAGAATTTCTTTATAGCCAGCTTCTACACAGAGAGGCATGGGGGAAGATTAGAGTTTGTCTATGATCTGCCTTGTGGAAGAGAGAATCTATTTTCTATGGCATGTCTCAGGGAAGAATGAAGCTGAGGACAGGAGAGCAGGAGAAGGTCAGAGGAAATCTTTGCTTTAGAGGCTGTTTGTGAGGCCTTCATTTTGGGGTATCACTTTCTGGGCCCCAACACCTCTTAGCTTTGTTTGCATTCTGTTTCCTCATACATTTTCAATTACTCGTAACTAAACATTGCTTATTGCCCCAGTGTCCTTGACTGTATCTCATGTTTTTCAATTCTGTTCTTTAAGGTTCAACCCTCTGCTACGGGCCTCACTTTTTTTGCATTTCACAGACTTTATTCCAGTGGAAGAATTTCAGTGGCTTAACACGTCCCTGCTTGGATAGTCATTCTTGCAGTAACATAGCACTTGGGTAGTGTGTCCCACACCTGGTACATTCTCCTGTGATGACAGGGCAGGTCGTATGCTAGAAATCATTGCTGTCTAGGACTGCTTCCTAGAACTATGTTCTCCAGAACTATGGGTGGGGTAGTTTACCTTAGACGGGACTGTGTTCATACTGCATTTCTACATCTTTACCACTAACCACATATACCCCTCATCTTACATATTCATTTTGAAGGTGCTTCTGTCTATTACTGTTCCAACTCTTACTGAAGCAGAAATGTTCAAGAGGAACTAAGTTATAGCCAGACGCCATAGTCTGAAGTAATGTCATGAGGCCACTTTAGAAATTTACCTGCCAGTTTCAGAAGCTCCCACCTATCTGTGATCTTTTATTCCTTGGCCACTTGGATTTTTTTTGTTGTAGTGATTGTGCCATAACTTATCCTTTTTATCCAGCAAGGGTATTTTTGTATACTTTTGTATTGTGGTACTGCGACAATAACTTTGCTCTTAGTATTCTAGCCTGGGTTGTGGCAGGGTATTTGCTCGCTGTCCCACTACAAAGTAATAACAAGATCTAAATATTTTACATTCCTGCTCAAGTTCTGTTCATGCAGCCCAACTCTGTATCATTTTCTAAATTACATAGGATTTCTGGTTTTAAGAAACAAGACACAAGCTTAGCTTAAGCACTAGGTGTTTCTTGTACAAATACACATACAACAGTTAAAGAAGATGGGGATTTCATAGGAATTTTAAGAACAGTGTGGCTTGGAACAGTATCTGTGCTGGCTCTAGGGACTTAACCATGTGGAATTTGTGGACCCTTTCTGCTCTGCCATTGACTTCGTTCAGCTCTTCTTTCTATTCTCCTGCTTTATCATCTACATTTTTTTCTCAATAATCTTTGTTTTAGTCTATTGGGG